TCATTCGCTGGCGGTCGGTGAGTTTCATGATCTCCCCGCTGGATAGGCAGAGCTTCTTGTTGTCGTCTAGCACCTGTTTAGGAGGAGAAGTGTTCATCAATTAATTAGAACCTGCACAGAGCACTACTTTTCCGGGATAAAAAATGAGGTGCACAAGGGTCCCGTTGTCAAGCGGACAAATGGTAGGGACCATTTGTCCGCCACTGGCAGACATCGTGAAAAAAGTTGCGATATCTAAAGCCTGGTCCGTGAGCACGTAGAATTTTGTCTAATGTCCCCAAGCTACCCATACTTATCGCTCGCGCGTAATTATGTTGCTGTCGCGCTCGCACACTCACTGCGGGCGCCCGTCGCACAGTCGCGACAGCAATATAATTACGCGCGAGCGATAAGGATGGGTAGCTTGGGGTCATTGGACAAAATTCTACGTGCTCACGAACCAGGCTTTACCCTTGGAGAACAACGGCAGTAAAATCTTTCCGTTGTGCCTTACTGGTGAACTTTGAAAAATGAGTTCCGTCACTGTTAGACATAGAAACCACGAAATTTCGTCAGTACCTGAGGTATGGGAGCGGCAGGGGAGGGTCATTTTATGACGGTCAAACGATAGCGTAACTTCAGATTTGTATGCTTTATCATGTCATGATATATCAATATCACCCCTCCCGTGGCGCCTCTGCTACTGAACGTTAACTTCGAACTCCTCCTATGTTCTTCTTATTAATTTCGTTGCGGGTCCAATGAGAGTTAACTTTCCCCCGGGACAAACTAGACCTTCACTGGTTGGGTTTTTATTGGCGGTCAAGCTGTACATCCTGGCTACACAGGAGTTGCAGCGGTGGGAATGAGAGGTGGGAATAGTCCCGTTTTCCGTGACGAGCGCTAAACCTATAGCTTAAAAATAAACAAAGATTATACTCGTAGTAAAACTTACAGTATTCATGTTCTCGATCCAGACGGCGTCGACGGGCCCGTCGAACACGTACCAGCGCTTGTCCATGTCCTCCACGGCGATGCCGCCGCGGACCAGGCTCGACAGGATGCCGTCTGTCCTGGAGATTAAAAGAAATATTACAGTTGGCATTGCAAAAGCAACGGGACTATTACCACCGCTACAACTACTGTGTAGCCAGGATCTACAGCTTGACCGCCAGTAAAAACCCAATCAGTGAAGATCTCGAATGCAAGGCAGCACTGCTCAGTTCACTGTTTCCTCTTTCTGTTTCTTTGTGCTACTGTTAGTTTTAGTGTTCGTTCGTTTCAACATAATGCTGTCGACTTCTGGACAAACGCTTCCCTCAAGGTTCTGGACAAGGACCGGTCCTACGCTGCCCGCATTTAGGTGCTTCCCGCGCGGCTTTCACCAGATTGTTTCAGTGGGAGGCCTGCCTACGATACGAGAACTTTTCTACGCCAACAGTCATCAGTTCTAGGAGCTAACTTCGCTCACTGCCACTTAAGTTTGGCAATTGGCATAGCGTAGGATTACGAGATCCTCTGGTGAAGTAAGTAATTAGGTAAGAACTACACAAAGTGCTCACCACTCATGTGTCTGCATATCGAACTCCCCGTACAGCTGGCCCATGGTGATCGACTTGGGGTTGACGACGAAGGTGTGTACCGGCGTGAACGGGAACCCATCCGGTATTGCCCTTGATCGCAGTCAAAGCATCGCACAGGATCTCATAGCACTAGTGGGATAAGTAAGAACTAACCAGGATGCTTACCACTCGTGTGTCTGCATATCAAACTCCCCGTACAGCTGGCCCATGGTGATCGACTTGGGGTTGACGACGAAGGTGTGTACCGGCGTGAACGGGAACCCATCTGACGCTAACTTGCCCTTGATCGCAGTCAACGCATCTCGGAGGATCTCATAACACTGGCGGGATAAGTAAGAACTAACCAGGATGCTTACCACTCGTGGGTCTGCATATCAAACTCCCCGTACAGCTGGCCCATGGTGATCGACTTGGGGTTGACGACGAAGGTGTGTACCGGCATGAACGGGAACCCATCCGGCGCTAACTTGCCCTTGATCGCAGTCAAAGCATCGCGGAGAATCTCATAGCATTAGCGGGATAAGTAAAAACTACACAAAGTGCTCACCACTCATGTGTCTGCATATCAAACTCCCCGTACAGCTGGCCCATGGTGATCGACTTGGGGTTGACGACGAAGGTGTGTACCGGCGTGAACGGGAACCCATCGGGCGCTAGCTTGCCCTTGATCGCAGTCAAAGCATCGCGGAGGATCTCATAGCATTAGCGGGATAAGTAAAAACTACACAAAGTGCTCACCACTCATGGGTCTGCATATCAAACTCCCCGTACAGCTGGCCCATGGTGATCGACTTGGGGTTGACGACGAAGGTGTGTACCGGCGTGAACGGGAACCCATCGGGCGCTAGCTTGCCCTTGATCGCAGTCAAAGCATCGCGGAGGATCTCATAGCATTAGCGGGATAAGTAAGAACTACACAAAGTGCTCACCACTCGTGGGTCTGCATATCAAACTCCCCGTACAGCTGGCCCATGGTGATCGACTTGGGGTTGACGACGAAGGTGTGCACCGGCGTGAATGGAAACCCATCGGGCGCTAACTTGCCCTTGATCGCAGTCAAAGCATCGCACAGGATCTCATAACACTGGTGGGATAAGTAAGAACTACACAGGGTGCTCACCACTCATGTGTCTGCATATCGAACTCCCCGTACAGCTGGCCCATGGTGATCGACTTGGGGTTGACGACGAAGGTTTGTACCGGCGTGAATGGGAACCCATCCGGCGCTAACTTGCCCTTGATCGCAGTCAAAGCATCGCGGAGGATCTCATAACACTGGCGGGATAAGTAAGAACTACACAAAGTGCTTACCACTCGTGGGTCTGCATATCGAACTCCCCGTACAGCTGGCCCATGGTGATCGACTTGGGGTTGACGACGAAGGTGTGTACCGGGGGGATGTTGCCTGGGTCAAAAAGCAAGAGTTTTAATTAGTCCGTCAGTTAACTTATCAAAAAATACTCTACACGTATTTTTCACTTTTTCAAACTAATGAAAATTTAAAGAGATAAAGCGCCCCAAAGTTCATAAGAAGAGGCCCGTGACGTCAACGCTTGCTTAAAAATGCCGCACGTTGTGACGTCGTGCGCAACTTCAACGCACCATAACTATGTAATTATTTGTTAGATTGACAAATAAAAATATATGTGTCCAATATTTTTTGATATTAAACATTACGGACTAAAAAAATTTTTTTAGGCAACTAGCCTATTAACGCCCGTATTCACAAACGATGCTTGCTTAATTGAAGTAGCAATGCTATGCGAAGTCGAACGCATAGCGTTGATTAGAGTATAGATTAGAGTATTGATAACTGACATTATTTGTATTGATTTGTTATTGATTGATTCTGCAATATTAATTTATTAACAATTTCACAATTTGTTATTATAAAGAATATTAAAAATATATTTTTTATTCTTATTCTTAGAGATCTATGATTGTTTCGTGTGTGTCACTCAAGTATTGTCTTTGAATAGATTTTTGGGACCCTGTGCATCCACGCGAACTGTGACACCTCATAGTAATATTTAGGAATATGGGTGTAAGAATTTGACACATTTCTAATATATGTAGTGATTTAACAAATAGACGATTCATGAACTTACTGTAAAGATCATCGTATCCCCTCTTCACGAGTATATTCCTGATGGATTGTTCCATGATACCATAGTCCACGATTGGTATCTCGACACGTGGAAACAAATCCGAGATAATACCTGGAACATTTAATATTTTTAATGCACAATTATATCAAAATACTGCCACTGCCTAGCCTTTACTTGTTAGCTGAGATGTCTCCAATTCGAGAAGTCATGTACCTCACCTTTCTCCAGGCAGACATGTCTGGCTCAGGGACACTTAGGCCCAGTTTTTTGATTCATAGTTAAAATAACAAATTGTTAAATTTTGCTACTAATGGTTAAATATTAACAAAATGTTAACTAATAGTTAAAAAATGTACTAAAAGTCAAGCTAACCATTGTTCGAAAAACATTTTTTTCTGATATTTAACCACTTGTCATTTGACATCTGTCAAACTTGACCATTGGTTATTTTAACTACGAATCAAAAAACCGGGCCTTACAGTGTTTAAAATTCGAGCCATTAGTAGCGGATGAAAAGGTTTGCTTGTTTAGATGAAAACCATCTCTTGAACATTTTATCATGACTTTGGTGACACTGCTCGTAAATGACCTGATGATACGAGTCAAGTACCGTTGAACAGAAGCAAGTCGTCAGCTAAGAACTTGGGCACGTTGACGTCTCTTAGCGCGCGGAGTACTATCTGTCTCTCCTTGCCGTCTGGTATCTGGCGGATGACGTCACTAGCAGTAGCCTGTGCTATGACGTCACTCACTCACCGTTGAACAGAAGCAAGTCGTCAGCTAAGAAATTGGGCACGTTGACGTCTCTTAGCGCGCGGAGTACTATCTGTCTCTCCTTGCCATTCGGCATCTGGCGGATGACGTCACCAACAGTAGCAGCTGTGCTATGACGTCACTCACTCACCGTTGAACAGAAGCAGGTCGTCAGCCAAGAACTTGGGCACGTTGACGTCACTTGGCGAGCGTAGCACGATCTGCCTCTCTTCGCCGTCTGGCATATGACGTCACCAGCAGTAGCCGCTGTGCTGTGACGTCACTCACTCACCGTTGAACAGAAGCAGGTCGTCAGCCAAGAACTTGGGCACGTTGACGTCTCTTGGCGAGCGTAGCACGATCTGCCTCTCTTCGCCGTCTGGCATATGACGTCACCAGCAGTAGCCGCTGTGCTGTGACGTCACTCACTCACCGTTGAACAGAAGCAGGTCGTCAGCCAAGAACTTGGGCACGTTGACGTCTCTTAGCGCGCGGAGCACGATCTGCCGCTCTTCGCCGTCTGGCATCTTGCGGATGACGTCACTAGCAGTAGCCGCTGTGCTATGACGTCACTCACTCACCGTTGAACAGAAGCAGGTCGTCAGCCAAAAACTTGGGCACGTTGACGTCTCTTAGTGCGCGGAGCACGATCTGCCGCTCTTCACCGTCTGGCATTTGGCGGATGAGGTTTCCTGCCACCAGGATGACTGTCTTTACAGCGCGCATGCCGAAATCGTAATGGTCCTGGGAGCAAAACCAACTAACATAAATGAAAAGGATTTTTCACAAACGTAAAAGAGTACTATTAGAATGTGTATGTGTGTATTAGAGTGTTATTTAAAATAAAAATATTGTGCTGTGTAACAAGTCAAATCATTTTAGCAAGTACATATGTTTACACATTTATATTATACTAGCTGTGCCCGCGTCTTCGTACGCGTGAAAACCCGTTTTCGCAACATTTTTCATTTTTTGCTCTGCACCTATTACTCGTAGCGTGATGGTATATATAAAAGGAGAAACTGACTGACTGACTGACAAATCAACGCACAGCCTAAACGGCTAAACGTAGGCACTTGAAATTTGGAAGGGACGTAGCTTAGGTACCGTAGAGGTGCACTAAGAAAGGAATTCCCGAAATTCCCACGGGAACGGGAATTAGCGGGAAAAACGGGATTCACGCGTACGAAGTCGCGGGCGGCCGCTAGTAGCCTATAACCTTCCTCAATAAATGGGCTATGTAACACTGAAAGAATTTTTCAAATCGGACTGGTAGTTCCTGAGATTAGCGCGTTCAAGTAAACAAACTCTTCAGCTTTAAATTATTAGTATAGATTGTTTTACATAATATGCTCATTTTACTCATTTCTAATATCATTTGACCCTTTCGTTTGCAAAAATGTGACGTCATAGCTTGTCTATGTCATACGCAATCACTTTAAAAAGACACTATGGGAGAATCGTTTTCTAGCTCTTCATGAAGTTTATACCTATCTCAATTGATTAGTGATATGAGCTTCCATATTCTTGAAGGTTCTATATGGCTGAGTTGCACCACCTTATGTTAACGGTATCTATTACGTTATCCGACGTTTTTTGTATGGAGTTTGACAGATATTTGACGTTTGTCATGATGTTAAAGTAAGATTGTGCAACCCAGCCTAAGATTCCAAATGCTACAAGTGCGACTGACCTGTGACGACAGCTGTTCCGAGCTCAATCTGAAGGTGGTGGTGATCTTCCCTGCCAAGATCTTTGCCTCGAAGAACCCGTACGAGAACAGAGAGATCTCCGCGATCAGAGCATAGTCCGGCACCATCATAGCAATCGGCCGGAACAACGCTTTTAAGTTGTCAGGGAGTTCCGTGCGCCCTGAAGGCAAATCAAACCAAAAACAATATCAATAAAAAAGTAAAAAAAAAACAAGAATTATCAAAAAAGAAATGCTGGCAAAACTGCTAGCAACAAAATCAAATCAACTCATTTGTAAAAATGTGGGTAAAAATGGAGGTATATCGATAAAATTCATTTATTTCTTTCTACAATGTTACACAGCACAGGAGTTAATGACAGCTCAATTGAATTTATGTTTTCTCAATCGAATGACTAAATAACATTTAGTCATATTAAGTACACAGCCACAGTTCCAGCTACCCATTTCCGGTCAAGTTATCTCGTTCTATCGCAAAGAATCACTATTGGACGAGAGCGAGAGAAAAAATAGAAATGGGTAGCTGGAACTGTGGCCATACATAATAAGTATCAACCATAGTAGTAATAAGGCATCTTTCCTGCTCTTCTACAAAAAGGTAATAACTTACTTCTCCCGCATCTGGTAAAAATATTCAGAGCAAGTTACGCCTGGGGTATTATACCAGAACCATGGAATTGGGTCAAAGTTCGTTTTATACCCAAAACGGGGAAAAGGGACTACTCACAACCCAAATCCTTCAGACCCATAAGTCTAACATCCTTCCTGATGAAGGCCATGGAAAGGATAATAGACCAGCACATTAGAGCCAAATACTTAGTGAAAAGACCACTAAGCATCAACCAACATGCATACCAAAAGGGAAAATCTACTGAAACAGCCCTGCTCGATCTGGTCGATAAGGTGCAAAAATCCCTAGAGGATAAGCAAACGGCCCTATGTGCTTTTCTCGATGTTGAAGGTGCATTTGACAACACCCCTATAGAAACCATTCTAAAAGGAATGGAGGCAAAAGGGATTGATATAAGCACCATCAGATGGGTAAAAAACATGCTCTCCAACCGAGTAGTAAACATAACCCTCAATGCTGCAAAGCTTGAATTTCTTGCCACAAGAGGATGTCCACAAGGAGGCGTACTATCCCCACTTTTATGGACACTAGCAGTAGATCAACTTCTTGCTAAAATGGCAGAAAAAGACTATGATACTCAAGGCTATGCTGATGACCTAGTGGTTATCATCAGAGGTCCCTGCAGATGGGCTTCTCAAAATCTGATAAGACTCAAGGAATCAGTACTTGAAAACAAACTTCTGTGCATGCCCAGTGACGACATGCATACGGAATGTAACTTCACCAAACTATATTCCGTAAACATACCTCCTAGAGACAAATGGCTAGAAGGCCAAATGTCATTTAAGGAAGGTAGTCACGTCTGGTACACGGACGGATCCAAAAAGGAAAATAATGTAGGTTGCGGGATCTACGGAGAGAGGCCTAAGCTCAAAGTTAGCCTAAACATGGGGACTGAAGCCTCAATCTTCCAAGCCGAGGTCTTTGCCATAAACAAATGTGCAGAGATAAACTTGGAAAGGAAGCTCCAGGATCAACACATCTACATCAACTCAGACAGCCAAGCAGCACTGCTGGCCTTAACATCCTTCGAATACACGTCAAAATTGGTGCAAACATGCACCGAGACACTGAATGCACTGGGAAATACCAACAAAGTAACGCTTACATGGGTACCAGGACATTCGAATATAGAAGGAAACGAAGTAGCAGATGAACTCGCCAGAGATGGAGCCGATAACCCTCAAATCGGCGTAGAACCGTTCTGTGGCATTACCAAACAACGAGCCACCACGCTACTAACCGCCCTCTGCAAACAAGAGGCTATTGAGTGGTGGAAGTCTACATCGGGACAAAAACACTCAAAAGCAGTCATTCAGGGATATAGCAATAAAGTAACTAAGGAACTGCTAAAGTTCAAAAGATACAAAGCCTGTGCAGTGACTAGAATACTGACCGGCCACTGCAAACTAAACAAACATAAATCGAACATGAACATGACCGAGGAAACTCTGTGCAGATTCTGCCATACAGAAGAAGAAACGGCCATGCATGTTCTTTGCTCATGCTTCCCGCTTATGAGCAAAAGAAGTATCCATCTCGGGCGACACATCATGCACCCGGATGAGATAGCAGATATCACGCTCCAAAGAATCTGGAAATTTATAGACTCAACGGGACTAAGCAGTGAACTTTAAAGACAAGGGCTTGCCACAATAGATCAAACCTGGTCGAGTTGGCGCAAATAAAGGCCCAAAAACCAATAATAATAATACATAATAAGTAGCAAAACTAACTAAACGATTGACGAACGAACAAAGGGAAATTTGTATAAACTAGTATAAAATATAGATTTTAATTACAAGTATATGATGAGAATGGATAGATATTTATTACTCTTTGACAATGCCGAAAGGTAAGGTCCGCCTTATGTACACTGTTCTATGTGCATGTAAGTATGAAATAAATAAATAACTTTTGAACGGATTTTGATGAAACTTTAACCGATTAGATTTATTGAAGCTAGCAGAAAGACTACGGACTTTATGGTCATCTACACTATCATCGTGAAAGATGACGTCATACCCGCGTATCCAGGGTTCATGGTGATGAAGACGGAGCAAGACGCCTTCAGAGGGAGCTCGCAGCCTTCGAACATGAACTTCTCTAGGTGAGCCACTTGAGCCTTCTGAATAGTCACCACCTGGTATCGATTTTACTTGTAGTATTTGCTACATAATTATCATCATAATTGCAACCACAGAACCACCACCAGTAGGCCTAAGATGCGCGCCGTGATAACCTTTATCAACGTCAAAATGTATGGGAAAATCGATAAAACGGCGTGAAAACCGCTTATCGCGGCGCGCATCTTAGGCCTACAGCTCACACTAAGCGTTTCGATGACTCTTTTCTTTTATAATGCGAACAGCCCTTTTGTACCCTTTGCACCACCGGCCTGCACCACTGGTGGTGCAAAGGGTATTTTTAAATCCCTCTTGCACCACCAACAAATAGTGCTGAGCTACCATCGAATGTAAAACTAGTAGTAAGACTGTAAAATATTTAATAATTTAATTGTTATAAATAAATCAAAACCTACCTAAAAGTTTTAATTTGTGTGTGTGTAAGTGCCTATAAACATTTCACTTCAGACCCACGATACCCCGGGCCTACATCCTACATACAACGAATAAAGTACCAGGGCAACATAACCATAAAGGAGCTATTTGTCATATTTGTCATATTTATGATACATGTTTATTTCTCGGGTCAACCAAGAAGAATTTGATATAGCTCCTTTATGATTATGTTGCCCTGGTACTTTAGGAATTATTCGTTGTATGTAGGTATGAATGGTTGTTATTAATTTTTATGTTATGTTGTCAAATCTGTCCAGTAGTTTCGGAGCCTATTCAGTACAAACAAACAATCAAATCTTTCCTCTTTATAATATTAATATTATATGATTATAGATAATCGTTTTACAGTTAATGGTAGGGCGAGGTAAATGAAGTGATTCTATTGGTTCTTTACAAACACATCCTTCGCTACGCATCCTCGCACATCTCTGGTGGAAACGCAGCCTTACGAGATCATGATAGAAAGCTAAGCCGACAATGAATATTTTCATAAGTTGTTTTTAATCAGTCTGTGTATTATTATTAGGTTTTGTGAAATAAATAGTCAATAAAAATTAATCATTTTATTTTCATCTAGCTTTTGCCCGCGGCTTCCGGCGTGAAATTTAGTTTGTCACAGATCGTTATAATTATAGCCTATATGTTAATCTGGGTTATAAACAATAATACTGTAAAGTTTCATCAAAATCCGTTCAGCAGTTTTTGCGTGAAAGAGTAACAAATATCCAGACATCATGACATCCAAACTTTCGCATTTTTAATATTATTAAGTAGGATATTAGTAGGCTATGTATTTACTTAATTATTATTACTGACGAGATTGCTACCATGTATGTTAGTGACCATGAAAGATTAAAACAATATAATGTATTTAATTAATTATAATATCTTAAGTTTTACAATAATCTATATATATAAAAATGAAACCCGTTTCGCGTTGTCACGGCATCACGTGTGAACGGCTGAACCGATTTCGATAATTCTTTTTTTTTAATGTTTGTGGAAGTCCAAGGATGGTTCTTACGGAAAAAAATATTAAGAAAATCTCTACGCTAAGGCGGTACGAAGTTCGCCGGGTCAGCTAGTAAGGTATATATATCCATCCAGTTACCCTAGGTCTTTATTATGGATTTAATTTACAAGTAGTTATTTACAAGCACTCTGCTCTAAATCCTTTGGCTTCAGGGAAGAACCTGGACCGCCACCAGTCCAGTGTTCCCTTGGCAGCTCTGTGTATGCGAGTTGCTTTCTTCTTGCTGTTTAAAGTCACTCCACACCTTAACAAATAAACATTACAAATAATAATGACGAAATAAGATAAAAGCAATCAAAATGAATATAGTAGTAGATATTTATACACACTTTTCTCAATTTCTCAGTAGTTTTGGTGTCGCCGGTGGCATCAGCATTTCACGTTCGCCTGTCCGTTAGTTCCACCCACCGTTGACTATTGTTGGCTTTTTTTTGGGGCCCTTCAGTGGGCATACTCAGATCGCCATATCTATAGAAAAACAACTTTATTGTATCTAGAAAATATAAATCTAGCACTCATTATTACTAAATCTAGGCACGTTACTTAGCTAGGCACGTGGAAGTTATGCTGGAAAGGTTGTATTTCTCCAAAAAAAACAGCTCAAAATTATTCGTTTAATTTCGAAATTCCTCCACTACATAGTATGTTTATTTTTACTTAACTTACCTTTCCATAAATTCTACAATCGGTTTAAACGGATAGGCGCAGGTTCTCATTTTCCTATCGTAGTTAAAATCCAATTTTTTGTGGAAAATTATTCATCAATAATCCTTCAACAAAACATGTTTTGTTGTCTGTTGTCATGACAACAGCTGCGTCAAAGTCGCAATGACAAGAAATAAACAATACAAATTTAAAATCATCATATTATTCAGCTTTAAGCACTGTTCTAGGACACTTAAATTTTGCAGTGTTATTATTGACATTTTCGTTATTTCCTACTCTATCTTTTCTATATAGTTAGAAAGGAGCGGCATTCGTTCTTTCATTCATCCATTCATAGAGTGTGAAGTTGGATACGTTTACATGCTCACCAACATGACATCACAAAACCATCGAATTGTCGCTGGCGAGTAAAGTATACGGTAATTGAACTCATGGTATGATTTTAATGCAAACTTCATCGATCCACGTTTAAACTCTATCGACTGTAGTATACGAATACAAGTTTTCGATGGCAACTCATGGTAGAGGCACAGGTCGGCCACCTCGAAGACATGTGCTGCCACCTGTAAGCTGCTGCATCTATATGACGTCACTCACCGGCGGGATGTTGCTCTTGAGCCACCTGATTCTCTTGAGCCACCTGAGCCTCTTGAGCCCTTGAGCCTCTTGAACCCTGGTGTCTAGGTGCACCTGTGAGCTGCTGCATATACAACGTGTCCCAAAATTCAAGGATAAGCCGGCGCCGCAGGATGGACATAGTCATGACTACTTTAGGAAAAATAAGAAAAAAAATCTATCTCAATTATTTTTTAAGTTACACAATAAATTATGGAATTCGTCGAAAATTGACACCCCTTATGATATTTTACATTACCACGCCCATAATTTTTCAAATACTTCTGTTTTTTTGTTTGTATCGGCAACTTAAGTAGTGCTGCTGTCCTCTCCAATTCTTAAAACCCTCAGAATCCTTGCAGTTTTTACACAAAAGTTAATCAAAATATGATATTTCCTTAAAATTTTGAACGATTTTTACTTTCACTCCACTTTGACTCGTCGTTTTGTAATAAAACAGTATGAACACTACTGCGGCAAGTTTTTTATAAAGTTGCCGCAACTATCCAAGATTCCAAAATGGTATAATACTCTAAGATAACTAGTCGCAATAAAGATATGCGTACCATTTTTACAAGCACTTCGCTTGTTAGTTAGTATGGGATAAATCTTGCAATTAAATTTAAAACCAGTTCTCCTCAACCAATTGAGCTGAAATTTGGTATACTTATGTAAGTACGATGACATTGCAATATTATGGTATCATTGAGCTGGATGGAGTCTGGAGGTGGCCATAGGAACTTCTAAACGAAACGGCGGAATCGCATCTAATTTGGGTTCGTTGGATATCTTTTCGAGCACTTTAGTGCTAGATGATGTCCAGGGTCCTGATGATGAAGTCAAGAGGTGGCCAGGAGCTGGCCAAAGGAACTCCTAATCGAAATGGCGGAAGATTATCGAGTTTGGGTTCCACCGGCGGGATGTTGCTCTTGAGCCACCTGAGTCTCTTGAGCCACCTGAGCCTCTTGAGCCCTTGAGCCTCTTGAACCCTGGTGTCTAGGTGCACCTATGAGCTGCTGCATATATATGACGTCACCACTCACCGGCGGGATGTTGCTCTTCAGCCACGCGCTGACCAGCGGCGGCAGGCCCACGACCCTGGTGTCCAGGTAGACCATGCCGCAGCGAGACACGGTGGCGGGAGAAGCCACGGCCAGGTCGGCCACCTCGAAGACATGTGCTGCCACCTGTAAGCTGCTGCATCTATATGACGTCACACACGGGCGGGATGTTGCTCTTGAGCCACGCGCTGACCAGCGGCGGCAGGCCCACGACCCTCGTGTCCAGGTGCACCTGTGAGCTGCTGCATCTATATGACGTCGTCACTCACCGGTGGGATGTGTGAATGAGGCTACTGGTCGGCCACCTCGAAGACATAAAACTCATTTATTTCGGTAAGTAGGCTTTAAAAAAGCACTAATTTTACATGTGCTGCCGCCTGTAAGCTGCTGCATTTATATGACGTCACGCACCGGCGGGATGTTGCTCTTGAGCCACCTGAGTCTCTTGAGCCACCTGAGCCTCTTGAGCCCTTGAGCCTCTTGAACCCTGGTGTCTAGGTGCACCTATGAGCTGCTGCATATATATGACGTCACCACTCACCGGCGGGATGTTGCTCTTGAGCCACGCGCTGACCAGCGGCGGCAGGCCCACGACCCTCGTGTCCAGGTAGACCATGCCGCAGCGAGACACGGTGGCGGGAGAAGCCACGGCCAGGTCGGCCACCTCGAAGATCATGCGCTGCCGGTCGGTCAGTTTCATGATCTCGCCGCTGGATAGGCAGAGCTTCTTGTTGTCGTCTAATACCTGTTAGGAGAAGGATATATCGTACTTCTATTATTAGTGTTCATCAATCAATTAGAACCTGCACAGAGCACTATTTTTTGGGGATGAAAAATGAGGTGCACAAGGGTCCCGTTGTCAAGCGGACAAATGCCCCTACCATTTGTCCCCCACATGCAGACATCGGGAAAAAAGTTGCGATATCTAAAGCCTGGTCCGTGAGCACGTAGAACTTTGTCCAATGACCCCAAGCTACCCATCCTTATCGCTCGCGCGTAATTATGTTGCTGTCGCGCTCGCACACTTACTGCGGGCGCCCGTCACACAGTCGCGACAGCAATATAATTACGCGCGAGCGATAAGGATGGGTAGCTTGGGGTCATTGGACAAAATTCTACGTGCTCACGAACCAGGCTTTACCAGTGGAGAACAACGGCAGTAAAATCCTTCCGTTGTGCCTTACTGGTGGACTTTGAAAAATGAGTTCCATCACTGGTAGACATTAAAACCACGAAATTTCGTCTGTACCTGAGATATGGGAGCGGCAGGGGAGGGTCATTTTATGACGGTCAAACGATAGCGAAACTTCAGATTTGTATGCCCTGTCACGTCATGATATATCAATGTCACCACTCCCGTGGCACCTCGAACCTTAACTTCAAACTCCTCCTATTTTCTTCTGAATTTCGTTGCGGGTCCAATGACAGTTAACTTTCCTCAGGGACAAACTTGACCTTCACTGGTTGGGTTTTTATTGGCGGTCAAGCTGTAGATCCTGGCTACACAGGAGTTGCAGCGGTGGGAATGAGAGGTGGGAATAGTCCCGTTTTACGTGGCGCTCCCATACGTCAGGCCTGACTGAGCGCTAAACCTATAGCTTAAAAATAAACAAAGATTATACTCGTAGTAAAACTTACAGTATTCATGTTCTCGATCCAGACGGCGTCGACGGGCCCGTCGAACACGTACCAGCGCTTGTCCATGTCTTCCACGGCAATGCCGCCGCGGACCAGGCTCGACAGGATGCCGTCTGTCCTGGAGAGTGAAAGAACAAAAGAACATTACATTGGACATCGCGAATGAGCCAAGGCAGCACTTCTCAGTTCAATGATTCCTCTTTCTGTTTTCTTGTGCTACTGTCATGGGGTTGTAATGCTCCTTCGGTTCAACATCCACTTCTGGGCAAAGGCCTGCCTTTCATCAAGGTTCTGGGGAAAGAATGAGCCTGTGCTGGTTTCAGGTACTTCCTTCAGGACTTTTGTCGTCGACTTCTGGACAAACGCTTCCCTCAAGGTTCTGGACAAGGACCGGTCCTACGCTGCCCGCATTTAGGTGCTTCCCGCGCGGCTTTCACCAGATTGTTTCAGTGGGAGGCCTGCCTACGATACGAGAACTTTTCTACCCCACAGTCACAACAGTCATCACTTCAGGGAATCTAAGAACCCCTCCGTCAATAGCCTTCCCTGGACCGTTGTAAGTGCGTCACGAAGGATCTCTAGCACTGGCGAGGTATTTTAAGAAAGTAAGAACTACACAAAGTGCTCACCACTCATGTGTCTGCATATCAAACTCCCCGTACAGCTGGCCCATGGTGATCGACTTGGGGTTGACGACGAAGGTGTGTACCGGCGTGAACGGGAACCCATCCGGCGCTAACTTGCCCTTGATCGCAGTCAAAGCATCGCGGAGGATCTCATAGCACTGGTAAGGTTAACATTTCATTTATTTCTTACTAGCTTTCCGCCCGCGGCTTCGCCCGCGTGGAATTTTGTCTGTCACAGAAAAACTTTATCGCGCGCGTCCCTGTTTCAAAAACCGGGATAAAAACTATCCTATGTTCTTTCCCGGGACTCAAACTATCTCTATGCCAAATTTCATCAAAATCGGTTGCGAGGTTTAAGCGGGAAAGCGTAACAGACAGACAGACAGACAGACAGACAGAGTTACTTTCGCATTTATAATATTAGTTGGGAAGTTGGGATACTAACTTTTGCCCACGACTTCGGTTGCGTGAATTTCGGTCTGCCACAGAAAGACTTCATATTATATATTTTTTTTATGTGACAGGAGGCAAACGAGCAGATGGATCACATGATGGTAAGTGATTACCGTCGCCCATAGACACCCGCAGACCCAGGGGCGTTACAGGTGCGTTGCCGGCCTTTAAGGTGAAGATACGCTCTCCTCTTGAAAGCTTGCAAACCAACAGCATTACAAATACAAATAATGGTAATAAAAAAACTATGGTAATAATTATGAAAACTAGCAACAATCCGTCCATCCTCACAAACTTTCACATTTATAATTTTAGTAGGTATAAAGTTAATTAAAAAGGATGGATTGTTTTACGATATAGACTGGTATAGACCCACGAAAAACATAGTATATTTTTTCTTCCAGTTTTCGAAAGAAGGTAGAAGGACAAAGTGTCAGCGCAAGATAAATACTTTTTATTACAAATCGATATTCACGCGGGCAAAAATATTAACAGATAATAATACTTAATGGCACAGTTTTCCCTACCTTAGTCTTTCCAGCGCCGGCGGGGCCAACCAACATCAGTCCATGTCGCACGACCGTCGTCTCGTAGAGTTGGATCACTTTGAAAATAAACGCTGAAAACAAACTTTACGTTGACTTCTATCCTCTAAATTAAGAACTATTGACTGACTCACTCGAAATCTCAGAAACTACAAGTGCTAGGAGTCTCAAATTTTGTATGGGGGTTCCTTTTAGAACGTAGGTGCTCACTAAGATAGTTTGCAAAATTCAACATAAAACGGGATCCACGCGAACGAAGTCGCGGGAGGCCGCTAGTCCGAAATAAAATATAGAACATACTGTAAAGATCATCGTATCCCCTCTTCACGAGTATATTCCTGATGGATTGCTCCATGATGCCATAGTCCACGATTGGAATCTCGACACGTGGGAACAAATCTGATATAATACCTGGAATGTTAAAACATTTCAGTCATAAATCAAGTGACGCAAAGCATCGCTTATCTTGCTTAACAAATGGCTGTGAAACATTATATTTTATGACACATTCACGCTCTATGTCTACTTTGAACCATGTGGTACTGATAGAGTAGAATGAGGGCTATCGTTTTAGCATTCACCAGTTAGCGCCACTGTAGAGTAAGGTCCTGTCACTTGCTAGTCGCGAAGACAGTGGCACCAACTGGTGAGCGCTAAAGTGGTAGGAGGTCTATCGCATTTGCACTCATCAAGATGGCGCCACTGTAGAGTAAGGTCCTGTCAATCGCCAGGGGTGCCAACTGTTAAGTATAAAAACGATAGCCCTCATTGGACCACCCCCACCTTTCCCTTGGTTGTAGTAAGAGGCGATTGTGGGAAAAACGTACTATAGATCGTTTCATCCACGAAGACACGCCCCACCATTCTTCCGCTAATGTTTGAGTGTTATCGGTAGGTACACGCTAAATTATCCATGAGTGCACACGAAAACTACAATAATGACGCTCGGATTCGCTCTTCACCGTCAGGCATCTGGCGGATGACGTCACCAGCAATAGCAGCTGTGCTATGGCGTCACTCACTCACCGTTGAACAGAAGCAAGTCGTCAGCCAAGAACTTGGGCACGTTGACGTCTCTTAGCGCGTGTACGTTACTCCAGCTGGAAAGTAGCTCCTAGAGTGATATGAGTAGAACGTATAATTAGTTCCCAACATGGTGTAAATGTGCGCCGAATTAGAGATTAGTGCGTGCTGTCGTTTTGGTACAAAACGAAAAAAACGATTCCTGCTGGAGTAACGTTGTTCTAGCAGGAAAATTCTAAACGAATGATCGGAAAGAGAAAAACTGTGTACGAGCAGATAGCTTATATTTGTTCTATTATGTGAGCTGAAAATGTGATTTGTGCGTCTTCAGGTTTTCGAGATATTGCATTTCCTGCCAGGGTAACGTTTTGCAGAATGCTCTATCTCAATAACCGTTATATGTGCGCCTATAGAATAAACACACACGAGTAGCTCTTGATTTGTGCGTATATGTGAATCTGCGATGTGCACCGGCAATGTTCAGAACTTGGTCTCGGGATAAAGCCACAAGTCTCCCAAAAGCGTCTTAAAACTTTCGAAACCCAGGACTGGCTTATGTGGAGCTGACGTGCGACAGCCCGCTGGCTGAGCCCTTCTTGCAATAGTGCAACGATTTGTGCTGCTTCTGAAGGTGTAGAAGCCCAGGTAAAGTGTCAAAAGAAGCGGAGATGTGTATGGATCAACGTGTGAAAGCAAAAATCCGAAAACACTTGCTTTTATGGGGGGTAAATAGACCGCAACTCGCGACGTATCAAACAGTTGATACATGTCTTTTTCCTTACTTCTTCACATCAGCCGGGATATCTTTTTAAATACTGGTGTGATTTAAATGAATTTGGTATCAATTTAAAGTTAAAAGTTTAATCTTTAAAATGGTGCAACTTTTTTTGTTACTAACAAATTGGTTAGTACACAAGATCGCGTGGAAACAACTTCATGTAAGTGATTCCATACTTTTGCTCGCAAGTGTAAAAATCAACGGTGTGCGCCTACTCTTATGGATAACGAAGAATGACACGCTCGTTTTCATACTTTTCATTCTATTTAGGTATTTGACATGCGGTATCTATTATTTAAATCTATGTGCGGAAACGTCACGAAATCTGAATCTTCATTGACCGCCGAACCCCCTATAGACCGCAGATTTGCCATGCAGATGTGCCAGTGAGTACTAATCTGCGCGACTTGTCACCCCCTGATGCTTGGCACCCGGGGCGGACCGCCCCCACCGCCCCCCCCTTACGCCGCTACTGAATAAGTTAAGTAGTTTTATTACTTACATACATAGTATTCGTTATGCAAATATTTCAAAGAATGCGCCCAATTTACGCAAGACAATAGTAGTCAAAACTGTACAAAATTTTAGTTTTCTTACCACATTTACGGCTATTTCTCATCCTAAAGTGTAGGTAGGTACGCGTTATGAGCAAGATTTTTGAATCGGGGGACAAAACGTCTATTAACTATAACTATATTATTATTCTGTCACCTATTATTGGTACTACATATTTGATAGAACTTACGAAGCACTTTCAGGATCAGTAACTATTTTTTTGATATCTTGTATAGTTTAGAAATAACCGAGTGAGATCACTTATCGTTTCCACCCTGTAACTTTTGCACGCGGCTTCACAGGCGTGAAATTCAGTTTCACAGATCGTCGTAAATTATAGCTTATAATACTTACATATATTATTCTGGGTTATAAACAATAATACTGTAAAGTTTCATCAAAATCCGTTCAGCAGTTTTTGCGTGAAAGAGTAACAAACATCCAGACATCCATACAAACTTTCACATTTATAATATTAGCAGGATCAATAAAATTGTCCAATAATTATATTATTATGTCAACCATACTAACTATAGACTATATTAAATTCTTAAAAAAAATGTCATACTTTAATTACATTTTATTTTTTTACTGGTTATTTTCTACTTCAGTGTACTTCCGTACAACTAATTTCAACCGGTTCGTGTGTAAAGTTAAGAAGGTCGTCGATAAGTATGAATCCGTCGCTTTTTTGTATGCATTCGAATTTGGTCGGATAACCAGCCGGTATTTACAATTTGATATTTTTATGCATATCTTTTTTTAAGCGATACATTCTAAGTTGAATATTGTATTTTATATTTGTTCAATAAACGCTCTAATTATACGGTTAACATCCGCTCATCTTGGTGTAGCTGATTCCTTGTATTTTGACGTCAAAGTTATAGCTCCGTCGTAATTACTTTTAGTGATATTATTCAATGACCCATGAATGTGCGTTTTTGAAACTTTCTATGGTTATAATACGTCTTAAGAAGGATCGAATACAGTTTTCAGTGAGCTTGTATGTTTTGTTATTCAGGCGCTACACGATTTTTTCGGATTTTGAAGAAAGCTCGACTACTTGATATTTATAAATATTTTCATAAACATGTTTCTTTCACATATACGCACAAATCAAGAGCTACTCGTGTGTGTTTATTCTATAGGCGCACATATAACGGTTATTGAGATAGAGCATTCTGCAAAACGTTACCCTGGCAGGAAATGCAATATCTCAAAAACCTGAAGACGCACAAATCACATTTTCAGCTCACATAATAGAACAAATATAAGCTATCTGCTCGTACACAGTTTTTCTCTTTCCGATCATTTGTTTAGAATTTTCCTGCTAGAACAACGTTACTCCAGCAGGAATCGTTTTTTTCGTTTTGTACCAAAACGACAGCACGCACTAATCTCTAATTCGGCGCACATTTACACCATGTTGGGAACTAATTATACGTTCTACTCATATCACTCTAGGAGCTACTTTCCAGCTGGAGTAACGTACACTCTTAGCGCACGTAACACGATCTGCCGCTCTTCGCCGTCTGGCATCTTGCGGATGACGTCACTAGCAGTAGCCGCTGTGCTATGACGTCACTCACTCACCGTTGAACAGAAGCAGGTCGTCAGCCAAGAATTTGGGCACGTTGACGTCTCTTAGCGCGCGGAGCACGATCTGCCGCTCTTCGCCGTCCGGCTTCTGGCGGATGACGTCACCAGCAGTAGCCTGTGCTATGACGTCACTCACTCACCGTTGAACAGAAGCAGGTCGTCAGCCAAGAACTTGGGCACGTTGACGTCTCTTAGCGCGCGGAGCACGATCTGCCGCTCTTCGCCGTCTGGCATCTGACGAATTAAGTTGCCGGCCACGAGAATCACTGTCTTCACCGCACGCATGCCGAAATCGTAATGGTCCTGGAAGCAGATCAAGTGTAAAGATTGTGCAAGCCAGACAGAAAGCGCTTGTCAGGCTGCGCATTACGTCATTGCGGCAAGGGTATACAAATACATAAACAGAAACAAATCTTTGTTTGTATTGATCGCCTCAACTCTCGCTGCGCGACGTATAATGTCATTTGTATTATTTCGTTTGCGAAAACGTGACATCGTAGCTTGTCTATGCCTTCTATGGGATTGTCGCGATTTCGAAACTCAAGAAGGTTAACTTCCTATATCAAATAACTAGTAGTATGAACATTTACTATACCCGCGGGTATCGTAAGAGGCAACTTAGGGACTTGCCCATTAAACAGAGAACGGGCAGCAGCGCTCTCTAATAAACATTAATCTCTTAAACTGCAATCTTCAACCCGCCTGCCAAGCGTGGAGATTACGGCAAAATCTTCCACTAAAGTGGAGGTTCATAATCCAGCAGTGGACTGTAAAGGGCTATTGATGATGAACTACACTAAGATCTAAACACTTTTAGTTATAGTAATTCCATGTATGCGTGTTTGTGTTGTTGGTTGTCCTAATAAATAAAATAAAATAAAGTACCATATTCTTGAAGGTTCCAAATGTTACAAGTGCGACTGACCTGTGACGACAGCTGTTCCGAGCTCAGCCTGAAGGTAGTAGTGATCTTCCCAGCCAGGATCTTGGCCTCGAAGAACCCGTACGAAAACAGAGAGATCTCCGCGATCAGAGCATAGTCCGGCACCATCATGGCAATCGGACGGAACAACGCTTTCAAGTTGTCAGGGAGTTCCGTGCGACCTGAAGGTAAATCAAATCAATTTATTTTTGAAAATGGAGGTAGATCGATACAATTCATTTATTGCATTCTATAATGAATAGAATAGAATAGAATATTGTTTATTTGGCACAATACACAATACAAGATATAATGCACAGGTGTCAATGAGAGCTCAATGAGGGTTTTCGCGAATGAAAGATCCGCTAGATGGCGGGACGGGGATGTGGAGTCTGACTGCTGCGTGATTGGTGGATTTTGACATATCTGTCAATGTCATGTCAAAAATAACCAATCATGCAGCATTTGGACCTCGCGTCTACGTATTGCCATCTGGCGGATTTTTCATTCGCGAAAACCCTCATTGAATTAAACTTCTTAATCGAATGGCTCAATAACATTCACGCCCGTATTCAAAAGTGAAGCAGCAAATCGAACGCAGAGCGTTGAATAGAACTGTGATTGGTTCGTGTGTCACCCTGTGCGTCCACGCTCACTGTGAGACCTCATAGTAATGTTTGTGATTACGGGTGTCAGTCATTTAAGGTACATATAAGAAGCAAAACGATTGACGAACATACAAAAAAGAAATTTCTATCAACTAGTACAAAAAATAAAATAAAGTGTTTGAGGATGTATGGATAATTATTACTGTTTAACAATATTTTCCGAACGGATGGATGAAACTTTAACAGATTAGATTTATTGAAGCTAGCAGAAAGACTACGGACTCTATGGTCATCTACATTATCGTGAAAGATGACGTCATACCCGCGTATCCAGGGTTCATGGTGATGAAGACGGAGCAAGACGCCTTCAGAGGGAGCTCGCAGCCTTCGAATATGAACTTCTCTAGGTGAGCCACTTGAGCCTTCTGAATAGTCACCACCTGGTATCGATATTACTTGTAGTATTTTTTAAACAAATATATACAATAAACAAATATATCATCATCATTTCAGCCACAAAACGTCAATTGAAAAAAATGAAAATAGGCCTCCCCAATACTCTGCTTGCGATCAGGGTAGGTCTTTCGTTTTCATAATATGGGATCATCATCATCATCATCATCATTTCAGACATAGGACGTCCACTGCTGAACATAGGCCTCCCCCAATGCTTTCCATGTTGATCGATTGGTAGCGGCCTGCGGCCAGCGCTTTCCTGCTACCTTTACGATGTCGTCGGTCCACCTTGTAGGTGGACGTCCCACGCTGCGTTTTCCGGTACGCGATAATAATATGGGATAATATACTTTAATTAATAGTACCTGTTGAGCGACCACGGATAACACTTCGATGTCGATTCGGTTAAACTCGTCAAAACACGCCCAAGCCCCAGACCTGCCACAAAAATTATATTTCAGTTTAAGGGTCTTCAAAACAGGCCATATTTCTCTGCTATGTAGCTCTAACACAGCAGTCGGCAACATTGCAAGCAACCAGACTATGTAATATTGCACTAATTTCTTCCGACATATCATATTGCTATAAAAATATTGCCCATTTCATAGGTTTACATTAATTAATTTTAAAAAGAAAATAATTCAGCATGTTTATTCCATTGAGTGACGTTCAAATAATTCGTCCAAGCGTCGACAAGTTTAAAATTATTAAATATCACTTACGCAGCCAGTCCTTTGAAGAATTTTCCCATGGCCATGAAGTCGAGCTGGTCTGAACAGTTGAATACAACGCACTGCACAGCGAGAGCCTTCGCCAGATCCTATTAAAAATAATAAGTAAAAACTATTATAAAATCACGTAGTATAGAAGGCCACGCATGCACGTAGAACATAGAACACATAGCACACACGAATATTTTACAGTCCAGCACATGACAGCACAACAGACATAGGTACAGTAAGCATCAAATAGTTTATGACACAAAAAGTTGTCAACACAACCTTCTTCCGATTGTTACAGAGGCGTGTCGCGAACTTTCTGGCTACTTCGGGTGTCATGAACTATTTGACACGGACTGTACCTACATTTTTGCTACAAACTCATCCATATAAAAACTACACATACGCTGCGATATCTGCTGAAATAGCAGGGCACATAGTACGCAGCACTGACGGCCAATGGGACAGCAAGGTTCTGGAGTGGAGGCCGCGTACCGGAAAACGCAGCGTGGACCGACGACATCGTAATAGGTAGCAGGGAAGCGCTGGATGCAGGCCGCTCCCAATCGATCAACATGGAAAGCATTGGGGGAGGCCTATGTTCAGCAGTGGACGTTCTATGGCTGAAATGATGATGATGATGATGAAGCATAGGACACAGAGCTGACGGCCGATGGGACAACGACAAGCGAGATTTACAGAATAGAGTTGAATATTCAGCAGCAAATCAGACAAGTTTCATTTTAGTTGTAAACTCGACCATATAACAATACACATTAGATGCGATATCGTCTGGCTGATGTACCTTGGTGGTCTCAGTCTTGCCGGTGCCGGCGGGCCCGGCGGGCGCGCCGCCGAAGTACAGATGCATGGCGCACATCAGCGTCAGGTAGCAACGGTCGGTCAGCGGCGTGATCACCAGCCGCCCACTGTGATAAGTATTGTTATGAACTGTCACTAAGAGCTATCACTGCAAATGGACACTATAGATAGGTAGCCACGATCTTTCGCTTGCCTTTAGACTAGGCGCAGACCACCGATTTTTAGTTGGCCGATAGTTGGGCCCGATTTTAATTTGTACGAAGAATCGGCCAAATCAGATCGCTGTAATGTGCGTACTTCCATACATGCCCATACCGATCAACTGCCAGACTAAACTATTGGCCGACGAAAAATCGATGGTCTGCGCCTAGGCTTACGCTTAGGCTTAGTTGCCCGGCAAACGAAAGGTCATTTGCTAATCATTCGGTCATTGCGAAAATTTTCAAGTATGTAAGCCAGGGTCACTTCAAGAATACTGCGAAATATTACCATTTTTTTATTTCCAAACTTTAATAAGAGTTTAGTAAACAAATTATTTGCATAACGCGACTTATATCTAGCTACTAGTATACAGTCATATAGAATAGTAAAACCAATTAGAATGAGATTTGTGAGAACATACAGCAGACCGAGGGCCCCCGCTAAAACTAGCGCGGGACCCGCGCGCGATTCTGTATCGAAAACTAGGGTGAGCAAGTCTGAGCAACGCACGAGGGTTTTTAAATTGAAATACAACAATAATACGAAAACAATGACTGTGTTTATCACCTGTTCCCAAGGTACTCGCTGGAGTATTTAAACACTGAGTTGAGCGCCTTAACGTCGCAGTAGTTCTGGCTGAACTGACGGTAATAAGGCGCCGTGTCTAGTCGGTTCTCATCCTGGTAGATCTCGCGGGACTCGCCTTCCTCAAACTCGTACATTGGCTTCACTACTTGGTAGTACCTGGTGGAGTATTCAAGTTTCGTTCGTTCGTTTCAGCCGAAAGACGTCCACTGCTGGACAAAGGCCTCCCCCAAGGATTTCCACAAAGACCGGTCCTGCACAAGTTTTCAAGTATTGGAAGAATTTAAACATGTCAATGAAAGGTGACATTAGCTCAACAGTTTAGGTCGACTGCCAATTCCGGAGAATACTAGTTGGGTCCCTAAGAGCGTCTAGACTATTGTGGTGAACCCACCTAAGCATATCTATATTTAGCCTTCCTAAAAGAGCTAGGAGGGATGTCTTAAAAAACAAACATTTTAAAAATCCTTACTTTAGTAATTGATCAACGCCAGAAAAAGACTACTGATATTTTGGTGCCAACACCTTCTTTCCTTTTATACCTTATTTATCCTTCTTGTTATTTTCATCGTAATAATTGTTTCTTTCTTTCAAACAAGCTAGGCCAGCCTGTTGGCAAATGTTTTGATTCAACTTGCGAAAAATGCATACCTAAGCTGACAAGTCCACTGGAAGTCAGACACATTCTTCACGTTCTCATCCACCAGCGTCCTGGTGACGTCACGCGCGTGCACCTCAATCACGATCAGAGCACACACCACCTCGCGCTGGAAGAATGTCAGCTCGCCCTTTACAAGTCCGCGAAGACTGTCCAGCTGAAACAAATGGCTATGTCAAGAATAGCTATGATGAATGTTCTCGCAACAATTAGACACGGAACATAATAAGAAGATGAAAAAGGACGAGACACTAATCACTGGCAGCTATTGACTGGCAAGGGAAGTGATGAGCAAATTCGGAATCTTCAACCACAGAGAAACTGGTTATTTTACCTTCATCAGCCTCTACTTATACGTCTCCCCGAACTATCGAGCCTTCAACTGCCTCTAACACTTACCACGAGCAGACTATCTTCGAAGAACTGGTCCATGTTGTAGTCCTCTGCAGCAGCAAGAGGCAGTCTCATTAAGATGCCACACCTCTCTCTAAGCGTGCTATCACCATGAGCAGTTCCTTCTCAAATAACTGGTCCATGTCCACAACTGTCTCCAAGCGTGCTATTGATAGCACGCGTGGGTATACCTACATGATGATCACCACCTTGGAACTGCCTCTAGCATGCATCATGACCAGGTTCTTTTTGCGCCAGTGCTTCATTTTCACGCCGTCCCGAGCGTGCAATCATCACCTGCAAGCTGTAGCACTTACCATAAGCAGGTTTTCCACGCTGAAGTCCTCTATAGCCGCTAGAGGCGGTCCTATCACGTCATCACCTCTCTGCAACCGTCCTATCATCACCTGACACCCTTCACCACTCACCATGAGCAGGTTCTCCTCGAAGAACTGGTCCATGCGGTAGTCCTCGATGGCGGCCTCCACGCCGGCCGTCCAGGCGGTCTGCGAGCCGGCGATGACCACCTGCCCCGGCCAGCGCAGCACCCACTCGGCGCGTGGCATCGTCCACAGCTCTTCTAGACCAGCTACCAGGGTCAGACTGGCCAAGGATAGACGGACCTAGCACTATACTCTAAGAGTGACACCGTTTGAGTATCACTCGATGGCAGCCAGAGGCAGTCGCTTCACGTAGATGCTATAACAGTGACACACAAATGGTTGAGCCAAAGTCCCCGTTGGCAGCTAGAGGCGATCTTATTACGACGTCACTTTTCTCCGAGCGTGCTATCACCACCTGCAACCCTAACTCACTAAAGCATGCTTCGATCATCTGCTAGATCCCTTGTCAGTCACTATGAGCAGTTCCTCCTCAAAGAACTGGTCCATGATCGTACCTGTCTCCAAGCGTGCTACTGATAGCACGCGTGGGTATACCTAGATGATGATCACCACCTTGAACTGCCTCTAGCACTCATCATGAGCAGGTTCTTCTTGAAGTATGGACCAGAGCTTCATTTGCACCTCGTCCAGAGCGTGCTATCATCACCTGCAAGCTGTAGGTCTTACCATAAGCAGGTTCTCCACGTTGTAATCTTCTATAGCAGCTAGAGGCAGTCTTATTACGTCGCCACCTCTCCCTGAGCCAACTATCACCACCTGCTCCCTCCAGCACTCACCATAAGCAGGTTCTCCTCGAAGAACTGGTCCATGCGGTAGTCCTCGATGGCGGCCTCCACGCCGGCCGTCCAGGCGGTCTGCGAGCCGGCGATGACCACCTGCCCCGGCCAGCGCAGCACCCACTCGGCGCGCGGCATCGTCCACAGCTCCTCTAGACCAGCTACCAGTGTCAGCCGGACTGGCCAAAGGTAGACGGATCTTAGTGTAACTAGACTATAGACTAAGTCCATTTGAGGACCACTCGACAGGCAGTCGCTTCACGTAGACATATTTCTCCGAGCGTGCAACTACCACCTGCAACTCTCAACTCACCAAAGCGTGCTTTGATCATATGCCACAGTCCTCGCCATTCACTATGAGTAGGATCTCCTCAAAGAGCTGGTCAATGCTTCGCTCACATTTCTGCTCGAACATGGTATTGTCACAACTAGCTGTAGAACTCACCACGAGCACTTCTTTCTCAAAGAACTGGTCCATGTTCGTACCTGTCTCCAAACGTGCTATTGATAACACACTTGGAGATACCTAGATGATGAGCACCATCTTGGAACTGCCTGTATCAATCACCATGAGCAGGCTCTCTTCGAAGAACTGACTGAACAGGCTGGTCCATGCATCGCTCGCACCTTTCCCCAAGTCTGTTATTACCACCTGCACCCTTCTCCACTTACCATCAGCATACCATGTTTTCCTCGAAGAATCTCGCAGTGTTATCACGTCGCCACCTCTCCCTGAGCCAACTACCACCACCTGCACCCTCCACCACTCACCATGAGCAGGTTCTCCTCGAAGAACTGGTCCATGCGGTAGTCCTCGATGGCGGCCACCACGCCGGCCGTCCAGGCGGTCTGCGAGCCGGCGATGACCACCTGCCCCGGCCAGCGCAGCACCCACTCGCCGCGCGGCATTGTCCACAGCTCTTCTAGACCAGCTACCAGCGGCAGACGGACTGGCCAAGGATAGATGGACCTAGCACAATAGTCTAAGAGTGACACCATTTGAGGATCAGTCGATGGCAGCTAGAGGCAGTCGCTTTACGTAGACGCTCTAACAGTTACTCCCAAATGGTCGAGTCAAAGTCTTTGTTGGCAGTTAGAGGCAGTCGCATAGCGACACCTCTCTCCGAGCGTGCTATCACCACCTGCAACCCTAACTCACTAAAGCATGCTTCGATCATCTGCTAGAGCCCTTGTCAGTCACTATGAGCAGTTCCTTCTCAAAGAACTGGTCCATGATCGTACCTGTCTCCAAGCGTGCTATTGATAGCACGCGTGGGTATACCTAGATGATATAACCACCTTAAGCTGCCTCTAGCACTGGATGAACTTGTTCATGCTTCGCTCGAACTTTCTCCCAAGCTTGCTATCATCACCTGCAGCCTACAGCACTCACTATGAGCAAATTCTTTTCGAAGAACTGGTCCATGCAGTAGTTTTCTATAGCAGCCAGAGGAGGTCTTATCACGTCACCCCTCTCCCTGAGCCAACTATCACCTCCTGCACCCTCCACCACTCACCATGAGCAGGTTCTCCTCGAAGAACTGGTCCATGCGGTAGTCCTCGATGGCGGCCTCCACGCCGGCCGTCCAGGCGGTCTGCGAGCCGGCGATGACCACCTGCCCCGGCCAGCGCAGCACCCACTCGGCGCGCGGCATCGTCCACAGCTCCTCTAGACCAGTGTCAACCGGACTGGCCAAGGATAGGTGGATCGAGCACTATAGTCTAAGAGTGACATCGTTTGAGGATCACTCGATGGCAGCTAGAGGCAGTCGCTTTAAGTAGACGCTCTAACAATGACACCCAAATGGTCGAGTCTGAAGTCGTCGATGGCAGCTAGAAGCTATCGTAATACGACGTCACTTTTCTCCGAGCGTGCTATCACCACCTGCAAACCTAACTCACTAAAGCATGTTTGGAGCATCTGCCACAGCCCTTGTCACTATGAGTAGGATCTCTTCAAAGAACTAGTCCATGCTTCGTTCACACCTCTCCGCAGAGCATGGTACCTGCAACTGGCTACAGTACTCACCATGAGCAATTTCTTCTCGAAAGAACTGATCCATGTTCACACCTATACCCCAGCAAGCCTGGAGATATCTAGATGATGATCATCACTTTAAACTGCCTGTAGCATTGACCTTGAGCAGATTCTTCGTAAGGACTGGCCCATGNATCGTTTTACAGTTAATGGTAGGGTGGCACTATTGGTGGTGCAAAAGGGATTAAAAAATACCCTTTGCACCACCAGTGGTGCAGGCCGGTGGTGCAAAGGGTACAAAAGGCGAACAGCTAGGGACTGGAATTCGCTGCCTGCTGCTGTCTTTCCTGAACACTATAATCCGGGCCCTTGTAAGGCGAGAGTGAATAGACACTAACAGGGCAGATATGTACCATCCTAGACTGCATCTCACTTAGCACCAGGTGCGATTACGGTCAAATACAAGCCGTCATGCATAAAAAAAGAATGTGTAGTGGCAAAACGTAAATTACACGCCCCTTCTACGTTGTAAATAATAACTAATAAATGTAACGTTTGGCATTACTGGCAGTTAAATGAATATTATGTATTTAATAGTACCTGCTGAGCGACCACAGACAACACTTCAATATCGATTCGGTTGAACTCGTCAAAACACGCCCAGGCTCCAGACCTGTAATGAAAAATTAATATAAACAATAAGAGCCTTTACAAAAAATTAGAGGCTAGTTTCCTAAAAAAAATGTTTTTAGTCCGTCATGTTTAATATCAAAAAATATTGGACACATATATTTTTATTTGTCAATCTAACAAATAATCACATAGTTGTGGTGCGTTGAAGTTCCGCACGACGTCACAACGTGCGGCACTTTTATGCACGCATTGACGACACGGGCCTCTTATGAACTTTGGCGCGCTTTATCTCTTTAAATTTTCATTAGTTTGAAAAAGTGAAAAATACGTGTAGAGTATTTTTTGATAAGTTAACTGACGGACTAATTAAAACTCTTGCTTTTTGACCCAGGAAACATCCCTATTCTTTAAGGGTATTTATATCGCTTACGCAGCCAGTCCTTTGAAGAATTTTCCCATGGCCATGAAGTCGAGCTGGTCTGAACAGTTGAATACAACGCATTGCACAGCGAGAGCCTTCGCCAGATCCTATAAAAAGAAGTACTTTCTTAGTTACAAATTATACTATTTGTAAGGGATATTAGGTATAATTATATCACGCATTATAAGCTTTATACGCTAGAATCTTGTACTGCAGTACATCAGACTACAAAGTTTATTGTAAAATAGAACTTTTCAACCATCATAACATTTATTTTCTATTGCAGGAGAACAACTGTCTCTAATTTACCAGGTGGTGCGGCTCAATCCCTCTATCAAGCTTTCTAGTATTTAATTGCATAAATTATATTATAACTAAATAAAATTAATTAACTTCCTTTTTTATCTAAATCGTAATTTCTAGTAAATGATCCTCATTTGCCCTGGTAACTTGGCCTACACTTCCCACGCTGGCTAGGCGGGTAAGAGAGGCTTTTTATAACTAACGCCTAAGGCCCGGTTTCCATCAAAATAGAACGGAGAAATGTTTTAAACAACCAATCAGATTTCATTATTTTCACTTCTCTTCTTCGCTCCGCGCCGCGCAGCCTCCGCTGTCAAATTCTATTCCCACCTCTCGTTCCCACCACTGCAACTTCTGTGTAGCCAGGATCTACATCTTGACCGCCATAAAAACCCATCCAATGAAGGTCAAGTTTGTCCCGGGGAAAGTTAAACTGTCATTGGACCCGCAACGAAATTATCAGAAGAACATAGGATAGTCAAATTAATTAACGGTCTGACAAACTGTTTATATGATATCCATCTATTATACTGTTACCTTAGTGGTCTCAGTCTTGCCGGTGCCGGCGGGCCCGGCGGGCGCGCCGCCGAAGTAGAGATGCATGGCGCACATCAGCGTCAGGTAGCAACGGTCGGTCAGCGGCGTGATCACCAGCCGCCCGCTGTGATAAGAAGTATTGATAAGAACTGTCACTAAGAGCTATCACTGCAAATGGACACTATAGATAGATCGCCACGATCTTTCGCTTGCCTTTAGACTAGGCGCAGACCACCGATTTTTAGTTGGCCGATAGTTGGGCCCGATTTTAATTTGTACGAAGAATCGGCCAAATCAGATCGCTGTAATGTGCGTACTTCCATACATGCCCATACCGATCAACTGCCAGACTAAACTATTGGCCGACGAAAAATCGATGGTCTGCGCCTAGGCTTACGCTTAGGCTTAGTTGCCCGGCAAACGAAAGGTCATTTGCTAATCATTCGGTCATTGCAAAAATTTTCAAGTATGTAAGCCAGGGTCACTTCAAGAATACTGCGAGACATTACCATTTTTTTTATTTCCAAACTTTAATAAGAGTTTAGTAAACAAATTATTTGCATAACGCGACTTATATCTAGCTACTAGTATACAGAGCTATTAGAATGAGATTTGTGAGAACATGCAGACCGAGGGCCTCCGCTAAAACTAGCGCGGGTAGGCGGGAAAATTAGGGTAAACAACGCACGAGGGTGCCTAGGATATTTTAAATTGAAAGACAACAATAATACGAAAACAATGTTTATAGTAGCCTGTGTTTATCACCTGTTCCCAAGGTACTCGCTGGAGTATTTGAAGACGGAGTTTAACGCCTTAACGTCGCAGTAGTTCTGGCTAAACTGGCGGTAATAAGGCGCGGTGTCTAGCCGGTTCTCATCTTGGTAGATCTCGCGGGACTCGCCTTCCTCAAACTCATACATTGGCTTCACTACTTGATAGTACCTGGTGGAGTATTCAAGTTATCAAGTTCGTTCGTTCGTTTCAGCCGAAAGACGTCTACTGCTGGACAAAGGCCTCCCCCAAGGATTTCCACAAAGACCGGTCCTGCACAAGTTTTCAAGTATTGGAAGAATTTAAACATGTCAATGACAGGTGACATTAGCTCAACAGTTTAGGTCGACTGCCGAATCCGGAGAATACTAGTTCGGTCCCTAAGAGCGTCTAGACTATTGTGGTGAACGCACCCACCTAAGCATATCTATATTTAGCCTTCCTAAAAGAGCTAGGAGGGATGTCTTAAAAAATAAACATTTTAAAAATCCTTACTTTAGTAATTCATCAACGCCAGAAAAAGACTACTGATATGTTGGTGCAAACACCTTCTTTCCCTTTATACCTTCTTTGTCCTTCTTGTGATTTTCATCGTAATAATTGTTTTTTTCTTTCAAACAAGCTAGGCCAGCCTGTTGGCAAATGTTTTGATTCAACTTGCGAAAGATACATACCTAAGCTGGCAAGTCCACTGGAAGTCAGACACATTCTTCACGTTCTCATCCACCAGCGTCCTGGTGACGTCACGCGCGTGCACCTCAATCACGATCAGAGCACACACCACCTCGCGTTGGAAGAATGTCAGCTCGCCCTTCACCAGACCGCGAAGACTGTCCAGCTGAAACAAATGGCTATGTCAAGAAGAATAGCTATAGTGACTGTTCCTGGAACAATCAGATCGATAAGGACGAATACGAGTATAGATAAAAATAGCGTGATACTAATCAAGTCCTAGGGGCAGGTATTGACCTGGCAGTCCGAAGGTGGAAGCTAGCTTATCCAGAGTCCTCAACCATGGAGGAACTAAGGTATCATACCTTCATCAACTTTACGTTTTCCCGAGCATATTTTCGTCACCTGCAACTGCTGCCCCTAACACTCACTATAAGTAGGTTGACCTAAAGGAACTCCATACGGTACATGCAGCCACGCATCTCTCAAAGCGTGCTATCATCACCTGCACCTTTCAACACTCTTCATGAGAAGGTTCTCCTCGAAGAACTGGTCCTTTCGGTAGTCCTCTTTAGCAGCTAAAGACGGTCTCATCACATCTTCACATCTCTCCAAGCCTGTTATCACCACCTGCACCCTCCACTACTCACCATAAGCAGGTTCTCCTCGAAGAACTGGTCCATGCGGTAGTCCTCGGTGGCGGCCTCCACGCCGGCCGTCCAGGCGGTCTGCGAGCCGGCGATGACCACCTGCCCCGGCCAGCGCAGCACCCACTCGGCGCGTGGCATCGTCCACAGCTCTTCTAGACCAGCTACCAGGGTCAGACTGGCCAAGGATAGACGGACCTAGCACTATACTCTAAGAGTGACACCGTTTGAGTATCACTCGATGGCAGCCAGAGGCAGTCGCTTCACGTAGATGCTATAACAGTGACACACAAATGGTTGAGCCAAAGTCCCCGTTGGCAGCTAGAGGCGATCTTATTACGACGTCACTTTTCTCCGAGCGTGCTATCACCACCTGCAAACCTGACTCACCAAAGCATGTTTGGAGCATCTGCTACAGCTCTTGTCAGTCACTATGAGTAGGTTCTCCTCAAAGAACTGGTCCATGTTCGTACCTGTCTCTAAGCGTGCAATTGATAGCACACTTGGAGATACCCTGATGATGAGCACCATCTTGGAACTGCCTGTATCAATCACCATGAGCAGGCTCTATTCGAAGAACTGACTGAACAGGGTGGTCCATGCTTCGCTCGCACCTTTCCCCAAGCCTGTTATCACCACCTGCAACCTCCACCACTCACCATGAGCAGGTTCTCCTCGAAGAACTGGTCCATGCGGTAGTCCTCGATGGCGGCCTCCACGCCGGCCGTCCAGGCGGTCTGCGAGCCGGCGATGACCACCTGCCCCGGCCAGCGCAGCACCCACTCGGCGCGTGGCATCGTCCACAGCTCTTCTAGACCAGCTACCAGGGTCAGACTGGCCAAGGATAGACGGACCTAGCACTATACTCTAAGAGTGACACCGTTTGAGTATCACTCGATGGCAGCCAGAGGCAGTCGCTTCACGTAGATGCTATAACAGTGACACACAAATGGTTGAGCCAAAGTCCCCGTTGGCAGCTAGAGGCGATCTTATTACGACGTCACTTTTCTCCGAGCGTGCTATCACCACCTGCAAACCTGACTCACCAAAGCATGTTTGGAGCATCTGCTACAGCTCTTGTCAGTCACTATGAGTAGGTTCTCCTCAAAGAACTGGTCCATGTTCGTACCTGTCTCTAAGCGTGCAATTGATAGCACACTTGGAGATACCCTGATGATGAGCACCATCTTGGAACTGCCTGTATCAATCACCATGAGCAGGCTCTATTCGAAGAACTGACTGAACAGGGTGGTCCATGCTTCGCTCGCACCTTTCCCCAAGCCTGTTATCACCACCTGCAACCTCCACTACTCACCATGAGCAGGTTCTCCTCGAAGAACTGGTCCATGCGGTAGTCCTCGATGGCGGCCTCCACGCCGGCCGTCCAGGCGGTCTGCGAGCCGGCGATGACCACCTGCCCCGGCCAGCGCAGCACCCACTCGGCGCGCGGCATCGTCCACAGCTCCTCTAGACCAGCCACCAGCGGCAGACTGGACAAGGATAGACGGACCGACCCCTATAGTCTAAGAGTGACACCATTTGAGAATCACTCGATGGCAGCTAGAGGAAGTCGCTTCACGTAGACACTTTTCTCCGAGCGTGCAATGACCACCTGCAACCCTAACTCACCAAAGCAAGTTTGGAGCATCTGCTACAGCCCTTGTCACTCACTATGAGTAGAATCTCCTCAAAGAGCTGGTTCATGCTTCGCTCACACCTCTCCACCTAACTCACTAAAGCATGTTTGGAGCATCTGCTACAGCCCGTCATTCACTATGAGCAGTTTCTTCTCAAAGAGCTGGTCCATATTTCGCTCACACCTCTTCGTAAGCATGGTGACTCACCATGAGCAATTTCTTCTCAAAGAACTGGTCCATGCGGTAGTCCTCTGTATCAGCAAGAGGCAGTCTCATTACGACGCCACGCCTCTCTCTAAGGACTAACTTAAGAGGAGAGGCTGATCCATGCTTCGCTCGCATCTCTCCCTGATCCAACTATCACCACCTGCCCCCTCCACCACTCACCATGAGCAGGTTCTCCTCGAAGAACTGGTCCATGCGGTAGTCCTCGATGGCGGCCTCCACGCCGGCCGTCCAGGCGGTCTGCGAGCCGGCGATGACCACCTGCCCCGGCCAGCGCAGCACCCACTCGGCGCGCGGCATCGTCCACAGCTCCTCTAGACCAGCTACCAGTGTCAGCCGGACTGGATGGCAGACATACCATGTAGTTATTTAAGGGCCTACTGTAAAACTAATGCATTAATTTGCGTGCATTAATAGGCGGGTGCCAGCTGCTGAGCGTAGGCCCGCGTCTGTCGTCCGAAACGATTACACGCTGCACCCGCGCAAGTTTTAGCGTAGGCGTAGTAATTTCTAAGGCTTATTTTCAACCGACTTCAAAAAAGGAGGAGGTTCTCAATTCGACCCGTATGTTTTTTTTTTTCTATGTTTGTTACGCGATAACTCCGCCAATTATGAACCGATTTGAACAAATCTTTTTTCGGCGTATAGGTAATACCTCAAGGGTGGTCCCATTTAAATTTAATAATAGAAAAAACAACCCCCAAGGGTGGAAAATTGGGGATGAACTTTTTTATACGCAATATTTTTAATTTTTAGTTTTTTTTGTGTTCACGCATTTGAAGTCGGTTTTATTTTTTTTAAAAGTTAATTATAGAATAACGCTGACCGCACACTGACCATCGGTGCTTAAAAACCGAGATGTATGAGCAAACACGACTGTAAAATTAATGTGACAAGGGTACCTCGCTACTTTCGAGGGGTGTATTTGCAAAGTGATATTAATATATTTCTGATGGTAAGCTAAACACCGCAAAGTCTACCCAAGGAATTCCTACACACGACCCTGCCCCCGGCAGTGGAGACGGTACGCAAAGCATTTCCTCCGCGGCAAGAAACAAAGGTTTGTATAACTTTTAAGAAAATATTAATCTAACAGAAATTTTGTGGCGGCCCGAATTTCACCGAGCCACCTAGTAGGTAATAAAATGTCCTCACTAGTGTGCCTCATGGTATCCTCTAGCAACAAAAGCCACTGCTCCACGTTGTACGAGGGATAGAACTTGTACTTGAGCTCAACTATTTCTCCCTTTCCGGAGTGCATGTGGCTGATCTTGAGATCCGGCTCAAAGGACCAATGACCAATGATGATGCTATAGTATATCAAGGTGTTCTCACTTGTGTGCCTCATAGTATCCTCTAGCAACAAAAGCCACTGTTCCACGTTGGACGAGGGATAGAACTTGTACTTGAGCTCGACTATTTCTCCCTCGCTGGAGTGCATGTGGCTGATCTTGAGATCCGCTTCAAAGGTCACCTGGCAGACAAAATTCAATTACTGTTCGCGCTGCTACATCAGCGCCACCAGCGACGCTAGCGCCCCCTATCATAATCAAGCATGCTCCATAGAAAGAGGTCTATGGAGCCGAGAGAATTTTGTCTATGCGACGACCGCCAACCGAAGCGTCGCTTCCATTTTACCGCCAACAAGANCAATTCTTCCCCGACGTGGCTGGGAGACTCGGCATGCGCTGGGTCGTACCAGATTATGTTACTTCCCAGATACTTACGGGGCATGGGTGCTTTAACAAGCGCCTGTGCGATATGCGTCTCCGGACCGCCGCGGAATGCGAATGTGGGGAACGTGAAGAGGACAGGCACCACGTTCTGTGGTCCTGCCCTTTGTACGAAGACTTACGCCAAGCTCTGCTTCAAGGAATCGTGCTCGAGAGACCCGGACCTGCCTGGTACTCCGATCTCGTCTCTTCGGAGGCGAACTTCGCCCGGCTGCGCGAATTTGCGTACGGCTGGCATAGAAGGAGGACAGCTAGCGCTGCACGGCACCAGATGGTGCCATCCGTGCCGTGATTGTCAGGCCCCAGAAGGGGGAGAACTGTAATATATAGGGACAAGGACGAAGAAAAATAACTTGTAGGGAGTCAAGAAGTGTGGCGCGGTGGAGTGCAATCTGCCGTAGGCAGCCGCAATTCCGCGCACACCTCCCGCGATTCGGCCAGTATAACCGCAAGGTTGGTATGGCCATGGGTGGTGGTGGGTTGTTCCACGTTGGACGAGGGATAGAACTTGTACTTGAGCTCGACTATTTCTCCCTCGCTGGAGTGCATGTGGCTGATCTTGAGATCCGGTTCGAAGGACCAATGACCAATGAAGATGATGCTATAGTATATCAAAGTGTTCTCACTTGTGTGCCTCATAGTATCCTCTAGCAACAAAAGCCACTGCTCCACGTTGGACGAGGGATAGAACTTGTACTTGAGCTCGACAATTTCTCCCTCGCTGGAGTGCATGTGGCTGATCCTGAGATCCGCTTCAAAGGTCACCTGGCAGACAAAATTCAATTACAATAGAATAGTATAAATGATGTAAGATGGCCCGGTTCCCACTACGCCGGACCGGCAAATTTGCCGGGAACCGGATGCCGGAAAGAGTGTTCACATAACGCCGGATGCCCGATCCCACAAGAAAGTCAAGTCAGTCTACTTTCATCAAAATATGCGAGCCGCATGACACGAAGGGAGTACGGGCGGGGCGGGCGGGTGACAAAAAAATGTTTTTCATAAAATTAATATTTTTATTAAATTTTCTTTACGCGTCACAGTTGGGGCACTCCGCTGCTCGCTAGAGTAGTCGTATGCGCTCGCACATTGCCCCGATCTGTCTGTCTCGCTCACGCCTCGACCACGCTTCCAGTGTTGTATTACTTACTACTTAGACCACGGTAATGCAAAATTTCAAGTAATTTTGAGTTCTAATAAGTGTAAATCTTACGTAAATAGTGCTAGCGACGCGTGTGTCCATAAATTACCAATTTTGGGATGATATTTTGAGTAACTTTATTTAACTTTTTTTTTTTGCATTAATAGGATCAGTATCAATAGCTCATTACCCAGAATTTTTTTTGGTGATAAAAATGTAGTGGTGTATACAGGGTGTTAGGTAAATGGGTATATGAGCCGACACTAGCCCATGTTAACATGGGCATATAAATGGAATGGTGAAGTGAAATTTGATATCATAAGGTGAGATACAGGCCAAGAGCTTCCTCGTTGTGGATAAAAATATATATATATTTTTTATCTCTGACCTTGGCAATATTCTCGAAGCACTTCCTAAGATGCGGCTGCACCGCGCGCGGGTTGCGCGACTGAGACAGTATCTCGAGCAGCTCGTCGTCGCTCAGGAAGAAGAAGCGAGGGAAACGCAGCCGTTTTAATTCCATGTACCTGGTTATAATAGAAGATATTTATTATACAGGGTGTTAGGTAAATGGGTATATGAGCCGACACTAGCCCATGTTAACATGGGCATATAAATGGTGTGGTGAAGTCAGAAATTTGATATCATCATTTTAATTTTTTTAATTTTCATACAAAATAAATTTTATAAAATCCGATTTGTATGAAAATTAAAATAATTAAAATGAAGATATCAATTTTCTGACTTCACCATACCATTTATATGGAATGCTGGGGCAACAGGTACATCAGTAGTACCATATTGCCCATTTATGCCCATTTAAGCTTACCTTTCTTTGGCAGTGAGTTTTGTATTTGGCAGTCGTGGATCAAACAAAACGTACCAGACTCCGCTATACACTCCGCAAATAATACATAAATATCCTTCCTTCGACATTTTACACTACGCTCCTAGTCCCAAACTGAGCAAAGCTATGACTATGGGTCCTAGACAACGGATATAAACATACTTAAATACCGTTTTTATATACATAAGTACATATTATACATAGTAACACCTAGACCCATCACAGAAATTAAAATGTATCAATTCAATTTCTGCCCGGCCGGGGATCGAACCCGGGACCTCTCGGCATAGTAGTCCGTTTCGAAACCACTACACCAAATGACTGACAAATAAATATTTTTACAATGCTCAATTACATCATTAAATAAATAAATAAATATTAAACAACCCAGTAATTTACAATATTAAGTAATTAGTAAAACTATGTTACTCTAGGGTTAGTTTTAATTTTTAGTGTCACAAAAACTTGGACCCCTGACCCGGAAACTAGTAAAAAACTGTATTATCAGGGTCAGTGATTCCTCAAACGAATTTAATTTAAAAAAAAAACGCAGGACAGTGTTTAAACAACCAGGAAGTGGGTTACTGAGTTACATAAAAATTATTAAGATAACTAGGTATACAAAGAGGGAAAAGATAAAAATAAAAACAAATCATTAATTACCAAGGCTGAGCTGCACCATCCTACCCCGACCTGGACGAACGTCAAAAATCTGTCAAACTCCACACAAAAAGCACCGGTTATTGTAACTGTTACGGTAAAAATAAGGTAGCGCAAGCCGCAACCAAGCCCAAGTGTACATGAGAGGATATATTTGTTAGTGTGAATGTGTTTGTATGTGTGTGGTGTGTGTATGTGTGTGTGGTGTGTGTATGTGTGAGTGGTGTGTGTGTGTGTGTGTGTGTGTGTATGAGTGATGAATACTACGTTCTTTTATTTATTTATTTTAGAAGATTTTCGGTGTCTGCATAGGATAGGTTCTGGAGATATGTTGTGACATTCTTAACCACTTCATATCTATTTAAGTTGTATATGGATGTGAATTTATGCAGTGTATTGTACAGTTTACAGGAAAGGGCAACGCACTGTCGTTTTGCAAAAGTCGTTCTACAAGTTTTTAGGCTACATACTTTGGCAGTAGAGCGTCTCTGTGAGAGAATGTTTGCATCAAATGGAAGAGTAGCGTGCTTTCGCAAAATGCACCGAAGAACATATAATTGCCGTACAGACAGGGTCTGGCACTCCGCATATAATTGGTTAGTGGGGTATTGAATATGCTTCTTGGTCATTATTTTTAGGATGGCTCTCTGCGCTCTTTCCAAGTTTAGCATAACAGTTCCCCCAGCTCCACCCCAAATTGGGATACAGTATGACAGAACCGACTGACACAGTGCAAGATACACCATTTTAACGACTTCGGGCTCAGCCAGGTGTCTTATTATTTTAAATATGTATGTTAGTTTTCTTACTCTTTTTTTAAGGGCTTCAATTTGATGGTGCCATTTTAGATTGGAATCAATAAGGATACCAAGGTATTTAACATTGGAGACAATACGAAGGAGGGGGCAGTCACATTTATGTTTGGGTGATGAGCAGGTATGTATCACAAGGTTGGATGCTTCCGGTGGTGCAGACGTAGTGGAGGTTATGGAAAAGGGGAGGACCTGCGTTTTCTCAACATTCAGCGTAAGTAAATTCTGTTTTGTCCTGTGTTTATATTTACTATTAGATCGTTTCATCCACGAACATTGGTGGGAAGGGATGACCAATTTTTGGTCGAAGGAAGCGCGGGGTGTGTGGTGTTTGATCCGAGCAATTCAAGCGTGTGTGTGTGCACTCATGGATGATTTAGCGTGTACCGATAACACTCAAACATTAACGAAAGAATGGTGGGGCGCGTCTTCGTGGATGAAACGATCTATAAAGTACTTTTTTAAAGTTAGGTACATACTCGGACTGATCAGCGCTTGCGCAGATCTATTTTATTTAAAAAGCAAAAACAGCTTTATTAATAAAAGAAAACGTTTAAATAATAAAACACAGGCTACATAGTTTTCGCCAAAAGATGGTGATGCATTTAGAAAACCAATCTCGACTGGAATGAACTATCGACTCTAATGCGAAGTGTTTGAACACTGGGGATTTTTTCCATTTGACACATCCATCTAGCTTTTTAAATCATGCCAGTTTCAGTAAACTTCATGCGTACACGGAAGGTGTCCTATATGTAAAGCAAATATAAAAGGTGATGAACTTAGAACTCACTCCGCCAATCCTCTCGCTACCACTGCCAGCAGATGCCGCGCTTCAACCAAACTGTCTAGAAGCCGGCTGTCCGGGCAGATCAACATTAACTGGAACAAATTCATTATGCACTAAACTGCAGGAATGTCTCCCTTTTTAATCTAAAAATAATTTAGAAGGGAAATAAGATTCAAATTATAGTGGGAAGTATATTCCCCTTGCCTTATTAGGGTTTTTTAATACTTAATAATTTATAGCATTCCACAGTGTAGGGTTAATAGCGAAATATGGTCAACAAATGATAAGGATACAGTTATAGTCTTTTTCACCTAAGATGATCCGTATGACGTTTCGAGTTTGAAAGATTTAGAGATGTCACATAACTAAACCATAGCGATTTATCAATCGATTTTTTTCGGAGAGTTAGTAAAACCTACTTTTAGAGAAATATTTTGTATAGGTGTTATTTAACAAAAAACATGTTTTTTTAATAACAAATATTATTGTAGCAATTTTTTGTTGATAATATTCAAATTTCATGGTCCGTTCAAAAAAACGATTCCTAAAAAGTACTGGTTCTGTTTCTTTAAATTAAAAACCATTAATTTATTTTTAATGCGTTTATTAAAGTCAATAATCGAAAAATATAGTTGATTTTTGTGATGTTTTTAATAACTAAGAATTCACTGCAATCGATTAATGAACCGCGGTAATAATCGATTTTATTATACAAGAAATACCCCAGCACTAAATCTATTCCGTTTCACACATCGCGTACATTAAATAAAAAATATTTTTACATCGTATTTAATTAAAATATAATCAATAGACTCAGATTTTACTATACATTTCAAGACAAGGTAGTTTTCTTTTTTTATCATATTGCTAATAAAATACAAATATTTTTTCAAAAATATTCTGCATATGTAGTATGCGTAATATGGATAACCTTGAAGTGTCATACGGATCATCTTACGTGAAAAAGACTATAATGATTGATATACAGTAGAATCTCGATTATCCGGACTTCGATTATCCGGATATCCGATTATCCGGACTCATTCTTCACGGTTCTAATTACGGATTTACGGTCTGGGACCCATCAAAACGACAAGGCGCCGCCACCGTAACACGGTACGGACGTCGTCTTGGATCATTGTCAAAAGAAATGGATTCATCCAATGGTCTAAATGTTGTATTGAAAACCCTTTCTATTATAAAAAGTTAATTAATGTTTGATTTTACTTCGAAATCGATTATCCGGATTTTCGATTATCCGGAATACCCCTGGTTTTAATTGATCCGGATAATCGGGATTCTACTGTAAATGGAATCTGTGACATCAGGATAACTTGCAATGAACTAATAAGTACTGGAATATCTGTAATATTTACCGGGAATGTAAACTTTTCACATTTCGGAGTACATCCTATTTACCTATGTAGGGTAAATCCTAACACAAAATGCTATTTCATTCTAAAACGTATAATAGCTTCTTCAATCAAAGTAACTCATTCAATAACCGACCTTTGGACAAGCAGCAGCAGTGCCCATTATCCGCCGCCATATCCTCTCCATTGTGCCATATTTCTTCGCTTCGAGCGGCAGCTGGCGCGAGATGTCTTCTGACGTGAAAATAGGCTCCAGGTACATCCATTCCCTGGATGTGAAATGTATGGTGAATACCCTTGGGTGTTACATACGGCACTATCTTTTCGCGATCTGAGCAATGTAGTACGAGTACCTACCAGAGAATGGGAATACATCACACATAGACAAAATAAATAGATATGATTATATTCTAGTGTGAAGAACTTTTTACTTGCGAATTGCTACATATTTGGATGCGAACACCAGACCAAGCCCGTTAAAAGCCAAGGGACAGAATCTTACTTGCCAATGGCGTCGGCTGATAGTCTCAAATAAAGCGTCATTACCTAGCAGTAGGACCAACCTTTTAAGGCTTCCACAGACCAAAGGTGCGGGTCAGTTGCAGCGCGGCTGAGGCACACTGAAAGCAGCGCAGTTTCAAAGCAGTTGCAACGCGGGCGGTTGTCAAATATTTTAATATTCAAAACCGCTTACAACGCGCTGCTACCGCCCTGCGTGCGGTGTGTCATGCTAATATGGCCGCCACTGGTCTGCCCAAGCCTTTCCTGTAATTTCTTAAGGTTCTCTCTGTTCTCAGTTCTGAAAGATCGCGCGGCAGATCATCCATCTATAAAGAAGAAAAGGACTCACTTCTGGCACTCGATCCACTCGTCCACGACTTTTTGCGTCAAACGTAGTTTTTCGTCCCACTCTGTGATGCGCAGCTCGAATGCTGCCTTGAAGGGGCTGAAGCCGAGCTGCTGCGTTACTAAAGTCACTAAAGATACCTATAAAATATACACTTACCAATGTCTTGCGAGTGACAGGATCTGTTAACAGTG